TTCTAGAAACCATAAGATATCTACATAAGTGGAAGAACATACCATGCTGGTGGATAGGAAGATTGAACAATGTGAAAATGTCAGTTCTACCCAAAGCAATCTATACATTCAATACAATCCCAATCCAGATCTCATCAACAATCTTTAAGGATATGAAAAAAACAACCATTAATTTTATATGGAAGGGAAAGAGACCTCAGATAAGAAAGCACTATTAAAGAAAAAGAACAAAGCAGGAAGTCTTACACTCCTGAACCTCAAAACTTACTATACAGCCACAGTAGTCAAAACAGCCTGGTATTGGTACAACTATAGACACACAGACCAGTGGAATAGAATTGAGAACCTAGAAATAGGTCAATCGACCTATGGTCAGCCAGTTTTTGACAAAGGGTTGAAATACTTTAAATGGGAAGAGATTATCTCTTTAACAAATGATGCTGACAAAACTGGATCTCCATTTGCAGAAAAATGAAACATGATCCATACCTCACACCATACACAAAAAGTAACTCCAGATGGATCAAAGACTGAAATGTGAAATCTGAAACTATAAATAAAGTTTCTCAAGGAAAAAGTAAGGGCAAATTTAGGGGCCTTAATGTATGGCATAATCGACTGCATAACCCAAAGTGCACAAACAGCAGAAGATAAACTAATGGGACCTTCTAAAAGTTAAATTTTTATATGCTTCAAAAGATTTCTCCAAAAGAGTAAAAAGAGAACTAACAAATTGGGAAAAAAATATTCTGCAACAACATATCTGATCAGGGACTTATCTCTAAAATGTATAGAAAACTCCAACACCTCAACAACAAAAAAATCCAATTTAAAAATGGGCAGAAGACATGAATAGACACTTAACCACAGAGGATATTCAGGCACCCAGCAAACACATGACGAGATATTCACAATCGTTGGCCATTAGAGGGATTCAAATCTAAACAACAATGAGATACCATCTGCCCCCAGCACTAGTAGCAAAGTTCAACAAGACAGAAAATAACAAATGTTGGCAAGGATGTGGAGAGATTGGGACTCTCATACACTCCTGGTGGGACTGTCAAATGATACAACTACTGTGGAAAGCAGCATGGCAATTCCTTAAAAAGTTGGAATTAGAAATACCATGTGATCCAGCAATCCCATTACTAGGTATAGATCCTAAAGAAGTGAGAGCCAGAATAAGAACAGATGTACACCCATGTTCATCGCAGCACTATTTACAGTGGCCAAAAGATGGAAACAACCTAGGTGCCCATCAACAGAAGATTAGATAACCAAACTATGGTACATACACATAATGGAATACTATGCAATCCTAAAGAATGACATAGACTCTGCAAAACACCACATAACATGGATGAACTTGAAGGACTATCCTGAGTGAAATAAGTCAATCACAGAAGGACAAATATTGTATTAGTTCATTATTGTAAAAAGTCAAGGAAAGTTTTATATATAGAAGGAAACTTTCTTTATTGGTTACCAGGGGTGGGTGTGGGGCAAACACTGCTAGATAGGTAGAGACAAGTATTGATTTGGGTGAAGGGAAGAGCAATGTACCAAATGTGAGTGATCAACACAGTGGCATTGAGGAAGAGGAAGACATAGGAGAGGTATGTGGGAGGTACAAACAACAAAGGTGAAACCTTTTTGCATACACAGTACTGCATTGTCAGTGATGGCAAGGATTGATCTACAGGTGGGTAGGTGGGTGGACAGGCTGAAAGATCAGGTATGTCAGGGAGAGGGTAGTGTGCCCATGACCATGTATAGGGTTGACAGACAATGTCTCTACAAGCATATTTGTATGTGCTATAAGATTGCCCAGGTGTATAGTAGAACTGACAAGGGACAAGGTTGTGGTGACTCTTGGCCACGGCCAGCTACCCTGAGGGAGCAAGTAGTTGGGCCTGTGGGCTCAAAACCATGGTCACAGGGGACATTAAGCTCAATTGGCATAACATACTACACAAAAACATTGTTCTACATCCTACTTTGGTGAGTAGCAATTGGGATCTTAAAAGCTTACAAGTGGCCATCTAGATGCAATGATGGGTCTCTCATCTAGAGCAAAGAATAATGAAGAAAACCAAAGACACATGGAAACAATTAGTCCAAGAGGCTGGTAGACCATTTGATCCTCAGCCTGTATGCCCATGAGACCAGAAGAACTTGATGGTGCCCAGCTACCACTATCAACCACTTGGAGGGGGATCAGTGCAGAAGATTGTGGATAGAGTGGGAAAACAATGTGGAACAAAATTCAAAATCATAAAAA